CTGTTGCTGCGGGGGGCGGGTGTGCGCAGGGAGGCTGTCACTCACAGGGTTGTGGGGAACCCTCTTTGCAGAGGTGGAGCTCCCGGCTCTTCGGGAGAAGCTGCTCGTTTCCTTCCAGGATTTTGTGTGGCAGAGACACGCTTCCCTGGGGGCAGCCAAGGACTCCTGCTTCCTGCAGAGAGAGAACTGCACCGGGGTGACGCAGCTGCATGGTGCCCACTACACGGTGAACGGAACCCTGCTCGTCGACAGTCCTGGCTCCGGTGCCACCCTCTACGTCAAGTCAGGTAGTCAGGCCCCGCTTTGCTGGGTGGGTCCCAGGGGGCAGCAGTCAGGGCTGCTCTGTGGCTGGGCATTTCTCCTGCGTGGGGCTAAGCCCCATTCGCAGGGGCTCCTCCGGGTCTGGAAAGCCCTGCTAGGTGCTGGCCAGCCCTCTGGGGAAGGGGCAGACTGGGTCCCTATTGTAGCTTCTCCAGGGCTGGGCCACTGGTGTGCTTGTCTTTGCAGCCTGCTCCCCTGGCTATTCCGGCGTGAGGTGTGCAAGGCGCTGCCTGCCCTGTCCCGGCACTCGCACCTGTAACCCCCTGAGTGGCCGCTGTGAAGGGCTCCTGAGCTGTGTCCGCAGGGTTGGCCCTTCCTGTCTACATGGTAAGGGTGCAGCCCCCGCTCCCAGTGCGGGCGGGGTGGGGCTGGGTGCGTGTGCAGTGCTCTGATGGGAGGAACATGCACCAGATTCTGCTACCTGGGGCGGGATGGGGTGGAGCCCAATTAACGTGGAGCGGGGAGGAGATGAATGGAGCTGGGCTGAGCTGAAGGGCAGCGTGACCAGCCCCAAGCCCCTGCCCGCCACTTGGTTTAGCCTAAAAACATAGCACTGAGAGGAGAACCCCATACCCATCTGGCTCTGTGGGGCACAGGGTGAGTCTGGGGGGTTCTTACCCTCAGTGATACCCTGGAGTAGATGCCAGCCAGGCTGCAGCCGTGGCCGATGGTGCAGGGGCAGCTCTGTTCCCTGCAGCCTGTGTGCTATGCTCCTTCCCGTATTGCCCAGAACCACTTCGTCTCCTGCGCACATTCGGCTCGCAGCCAGTGTCTGGGAAAGGCAGGCCAAGCCCCTGGCCCTCACCCTCCCTGGATTGCACAGTGGCACTGGTGAGGGCATGGCCCAGTGCAGGATGCACTGCCAGTACTGAGGCGTGGGACGGCACCACCACACCCTGCAATGCTTGCCCATTCCTCGATGGGTGCATCGGGATCCCCCCGGGGGGAGGAAACATTGCATGGGAAAGGGCATGTAACACACTGCTGGAGTACCCCGAGCTGGGAGCCGTCATGTTACCCCCTGCCACAGCAAGAGAGAGCTTTGCTGGCATTCGATTGTCTGCCTCCCCAGCAAACTCCTCTAGGCCCTCCTGGCCCAGACCTCGCCTAGCAGGTAACAGCCAGTGAACTCCTGTTTCTCTGCAGGGCACAGCCCGTACCACGGTGCAGTCACAGAAGATAGGAGCTTCGCTGCTCTGTTAGAGTCACTGCACCACAGCTTATTAATGTACCTGGGTAAATACACCCTTCCCCTCAAGCCCAGCACTGAC